TCGGTCCCTACGCAGACTGATCCAAGTGGTCACCCACCCGCACACTGACCGCAGCCAGTGATGCTTGACTTCGGTGATCTGCTGGGAACCGTGTCTTAACGATCAGTCCACTGCGGGACCCTAATAGTTCAAATGTACAAATAATGCTTATTTTATAATCAAAAATCAATCAGGAAAAAAAAAAATTTCTTTCGTTTTCCGCAGAAAATTTAGCGTTTCGTTTTTCATTCTTAGTAGAAAACATGAAATTCAAAATATACTGAAAAAGAAAAGAAATAATAAATTCGCTGTAATTTTCTGTAATGAACGATGAGCTTATTTTGCCTATTCTTGTATCAGCGATAAATTTAATTCTCTCTTAATAGATAAGTTAGAGCTATAATTAGCTCTGACTTATTATGAAACATGACAAGCTACGTTTTAGAAAATTTTAAATTCTTTTTAAAATAAATATGTGGTTAAAAGACTTCTCGTAAAAGAATTTTGATAGGAATTAAATGTAAATTGAAGAAATTTTCTAAAATTAAAAATATTTTTATTGGATTGCATCAAATAGTAATTACAGAATGTAATCGTTATTAAAAACTAAATATTATTCTTCAAAGTATATTATAATTTAAATTTTGTTTTTGGTGATATCGTTGCAAATATAACAACGGAAGAGAAAAAACTATTTCTTATTAGTTATTTATTTAGTCATCAGGAATATATTTATGGACATTAAAAAACTATTACCGTTCCTTTAAAAGCTAAAGTCATTCATTTAATGTTATGCTTTCAAATTTGATGGTTATTGAACATATAAGAATGCTCCGACAAAAAATAGAACAGATAAGGCACATTCATATTTATTTAATCGATATATTTTTATGAAAAGCAAATTTCTGCTGAGTTATGATAATAATTATTGTATGTTTTTACATGACCAGACAAAACTAAAGATGTGTTCAAGTGAAATTACTTGTGCTTTCTGTGGTATCAGTAAATGGGTTATTGGGATAATAACGGATTTTAGCTGGCACACTGTATATTACATACGGGAAGAAGGTCTGCTTCTTTAAATATTAAATAATATAAAATAGGTATGGGCCCAGTGTATAAAGAGAGGAACAACATTTAGGGTACAGCAACAGAAGATCTTCTAGAAATGAGTTTGCACCCCACTTTAATTCTCAACCATCTTCTAGACTGCTAAAAATTTCACGGAAGAAATGGTTAAATAACAGTTTATTTAATTGTAATTTTTCCTACTCAAACAAGACAGTCAAATAATCATAAATAGGATGGTAATCAACCTGTTAACTGTGAGAAAAACCGTTTATTAACTACTTTCACCTAACACAGTTAAAAAACCAGAATTTTATCTCACCAACTAAGCCCATTCAATGAAGCCATTTAGTTCCTTGTATATGAGTATATATTGTAGCAAAGAAGTCAAGCCGTCAGTCTCATGACCGGCAGAACTGGAGTTCTAGTCCCATCATTGTCACCACAATATTTCGTCCATTCACCATATCAAAAAATCACGAATCATTATTGAGGATAACTGAACTGAATTTCACCACATCGAAAAATCACGAATCACTATTGAGGAAAATTGAACTGAAAGTAGCAAAACCTGTTTATTGGCCAGAGAAATAAAAAAGATAGGTAAAAGCTTAATGTAAATTGCTTAAATATCGATTTGCAATCTCTAATGTGTAGATTTTTTAAATTAATCTTTTAGATAGAATTTGTGGGCGGCGCCGCCTCTTCGATGACGCTCCCTAACTCCCAGTAATTATGCAACTTTATATGGTTTCTTTTGTTCACTACGAAGTAAAAACGATTTGAAATGTCGAGAGCAAAATCTTAATTCATATTTCAATTTCAAATCAATTATTAAAAATCTCGGAAACTAATTCCTCTTCAAAAAATTAAAATTTCTAGTCAACAATTAGTTATTAAAATTTTTAATCGAAACATATGACATGCAATTGAAAAACTTGCAGAAACAAAAAATAATTATGCTTTTGAAAAACAAAAAGTATAACGGCATAACTCCAAAAATTCTTTCAATGTTTGATTTTTCATAGCTGTCATCGACGCTTTCTTCTGTTCTTCGAGCAAGCCTTTTTACTCTATACTTAAAGTAACGGTGAGACTAATGCTTATTTATGAAGAATAACAGTGACAATGAGTAAAATTATTATCATTAAACCTGTACTAGTGTAATTTAAACATAATATAGTAAATAAATAAACAAAACATAACACACTTAATAGTGTTCACGCTATGGCTAGTTGACTGAATAAAAACAATAACAAGCTTCCTATAGTTTGTCTAGGCTAAGAACTCCTTCCGCCATAAAGTCTGATGACGTCTGGTACTATGGAAACAAGAATGGCGCATTTTAGGGAGGGTAGATTCACTCTAGGACTAACACAATAGACCGAAGAAAGAGATTTCGTTTTTCTCCTCGACCCGAGCTGAAACCCCTCCCAAAACAATGACCCTGCACCCCTATTTCAAATAGTCATACCTCGTTACCATAGTCACTGCCACAGGCTCAGATGAATGTCTGGAGGAGTTCTTATTTTAGACGAACTATAAAATCGAAGGAAATATAGAAAACTTTCTGTAAATCCTTCCGCGCTTATGTATTATGCTTGCTAGGCGATGTGTAAACAGGTTCAATAATCTAGGAAGTTTTATTATTGTGATTTGTGTTTAAATTAGCTCGTATTTTTAACATTCATAAGAGTTTCCCGTAATTTATAAATTCTAATTGGTCGTGAGCCGAAGACAAATTTAACCCCTAAACGATCGGTCAATTTTCAAGAAAACGATCATAAAAGCGCATATATTTTTTTATCCAATCACAAACACGCGTATTTGATTAGTGCTGACATCTAGGTTAAAATAAACTAACTATCTACAATTACCTTAAAAATATCCTGGTGAATAAAAATAAGAAATAAAATGTTTTCCGGGCGAAAAAGAAATGAATTAGATTTATTCTTATTGGTACGTTACCACTGAACACTCCAGCCCGGAAATATCACGGGAGCGAGAAATAGAGAGTGAAAGCTCACCCCGTCATTTTTACTGGAGCGAGAAGGAAGGGGTTAAGGAAATTAACTTTCCGACATAAATGAAGTGGAAAGCTTGCCATGTTTCGAGTGTTATTCCTCATTTGGCTATATTTGTGTAAAATATTGCCACTCGTTAATTTTTGGATACCATCAGGGCATGCTTGCGGTGTCTTCAGCATTCATTTGTTGTTTGTTTCGTTGAAATTTAAATTGAAGGAAAGTGCTATATTGTAAACACTACACGCATATTAATATTGAGCCGTGAGGGCTCAGGGGGTAGAAGATTCGCGTTCCAATGAGGTGAATCGGGTTCGAATACCAACCCAGCGATGACTGGTTGATACGAATTCCGCATCAGGCTTGCACCAACAACAATGCTGACGTAAAATATCTTCAGTGGTAGACGGATCATGGATTAGAGTCCCCTTGCAGTCAGGCAAACCTTGGGAAGCTTTCGTGGTTTTCCTTTCCATGTAGCGCAAATGCTGGTTTGTTCCATTTTAAAAGTCCTCCACGAAGACAAATTTCACACAATACTTGGTTAAGGAGTTCCCTTGTCTTCTGGACAGGGTTCAAAATTACAAAGCTACGGAGTTGAACATTAGCAGTCGTAAACCCAAAAATTGGGTAGGCTGTTCATCGACGGTTATAAAATAAAATAAAAAACATTATTATTGGATGGCACGCTTTTTTAACCATAGTAGTGAAAATCAGTCAAAAGAAATAATTTGGAAGTTTTATTACGAGTTTTAGCCGGTTCTGTTCGTAAAAAGTCATATTTTCACATACAGTCTTCCCCACATAGCAAAACTGGTTTTTTTCATGTAGTTAGATAGGAAAATAGTGTATAAAAGAGAAACATTCTCCCAACTTTGCTCATTTGCTAAACAACCAGTGGGTTCTGTTCGCTTTAGCAACTCTCTTAAAGATTATACGACCACGTTGTAGTCAATATACTCGTACTTGTAGTCAATATTAGCTATACCACGATAAGTAAATTTAGTAATAAACATGGATGAGATATCTTTTCATTATTCAAAGTTTGGATGAACGATTTTTTTATCTTCATTGCTTTCATTATTCGAAGTAAACAATGAATACATACAATGAATGAATGAGAATATAAAAAAAACGTTTTGTTTAATAAACGTTTGTTAAAAATGGTGTTGGAATAATTTTGTCTTTCAAAATGGGCGATGAGTCAAAAGGTATAGAATCTATGATCTATAAATCGGTCAAGCCAGTGAATCAGTTTGGGAGAACCAACCAACTTAGGCTCCTGATTTATAAACTTCCTTTCCTTTCCGAAAGCCACAAGGCTGAAAATCGGTGAATCCATGATGACTGTGCTTAGAACCATTCTCTTTGGATGTGATTTTTTTGCAAGTGAATGAGGACTGGATCGGTAGAAATATTTACCCCAAAAAACTTGTCAATCAGATTCCAGTTCACATGAGAAAAAATCGCATCCGATTTGAATTTCCTTTTTGACGGCTTATGAACAAATAGCACAAATCAGGGCAGACTAATCTTGGCGATCAAAAAGGCTACAGGTGGCGTAGAGCGAAACTCTCTACCTATGGCAACACTTCGATAGTTTTTACCATTGGCGTGTGGAGAGGAGGGAAGTACATTAGTTTCTGTCTTGATTTTCAAATTGATAAAAATCTTTGAAATTAGGAAACTATAAGGAACTGAAATCTACATTGCACATAGTCTTAAAAGAAAGCGTCATGGAAATTTCAAAAAATATTTTTAACAATTAAGTGCGAAAAATACTCAGAAAAGGAAAAATATCGTAGTACATCCCTATGCAACTGAAAAGAGGAGGAAAGGGGAAGGTCCGAAGGCATGGAACCAGTCTTCTTGCAGATGGCGCATTAGAGCGTTGCGCTCGTCTCTAGTGCTAAATAACCAAACCAAATTAAGACAATGCTCCTCGGCAACGGTGGTTCTTTAAAACTAGTGATTCCATGTAACTTTCACTGTAAAAGTGGTCTGCTAAAAGCATGCTTTGCGATCGATCTAGTTCACCCTTGTTTAAGTTTTCTTCTAAACTCGAAAATTTTCATTTTCATTCTAGATGCCGGCAAGTGGAAAAGAATATTAATATTCTTATTATGTATATGTTCTTGGATTGTTCGTTAATTTGTTATCCGCAAACTTGTTAGACTTACATAGTATTTTAATGATCAATTATGTCTTTGGAAGAAATTACAAGAAAGTATTGTGACGATAAATTCTGGGTATGAATTTCATATGTTATGTTAAGATTTTCAAAGATTTAGAAAGTTTATCTAGATATACATATTTTATAATAGAAATAATAATTTTTTTTCCTCAGCAATTGGAGTTAAATTTCATATTCTGGACTTACTGAAAGTGATAAAATGTTGCAGTTTTATCATGTTTTAGAACAGCTACAATTTATTCTTTAATAGATAATTAATGGTAGTTTCTTTAATGCTACAAGAATTATTTTTTAGCTATCTATTTTTTTTTGTCAATCTATTGTCATGGTTCGTTTAGATTTTTATTTTATTGCTGGAATAAAACAGTTATTTGTTACAGGAAAACCTCAGCATTCAAATTTTGTGTGGAAAATGACTTGTGATTATCATGATTGTTTATTTATAATAGATAATTATTTACGTTGCTGGAGATTTCTTAAACTATCTTTTATTCTGCAGTTAATCTGAATAACCTATTTTTGTTGCTCTTGTGCTAGAATTTTAAACACTGAAAAATAAATTCTACATTTTAAACAAGAAATGTTTTGTGCATAAAATTGGCTTTCAATCACTTTATTTTTCAGGATTTTAATAAAATCTGGAATAGTGAAGTGATTATTATGCATGTTTTTAAGAGACTATATTTATTATGCTGCCTTCTAAACTAGTTTTTTTATTCATCAGTCTATTTTACTGTATACAATTTGTAGTTGTTTTGTTCAGTTGTAAATTATAAGAGAATTCTATATTGAAATGCTTTGTACTTGTGAGTGGCTCTATTTATTTATTTATTTTTTAAAATTATTTTTCAGGATCTTAATAAAACATGGAACAGTGAAGTGCCAGATTTTTCAACATGTTTTCAAGAGACTATATTTATTTCAAGTTTCTGTATTTTCTTCAGTGTTATATTTCTTATTAACATATGTCAATTGAATAAGCCACCTTCGCGCAATCCTCTTCCATGGACATGGCTTAACATTACAAAATTGGTATGTATGAATAAATATTTAATTTGATTTATTAAATATGAAAAGTATTTTTTAGGTTACCTTTTTATAAATTGATTTTTAACAATTTCTGTCAATAGTTTAAAATGATTTTATAATTAAAATTTAGCAATTCTAATTAGGATTGTATTAAGTTTAGTTTTTTTTTTAAATTACTGTAATAACTCAGGACATTACAAGAAAAAATTACCAAAACAGAATGATTTATTAAAGTGATTGATTGAGAAAGCATTGAGTAGGTAAAGCAGAATATTGAATGTTTTTTAAGTATTAAATTAATTCAAAAGTTTCAGACAAGCTTAATTTTTAAAAAAGAAAAATTATGCTATTTTAAACAAGCTTGCCATTTTAGCATTCAGAAAATTTTTTTCAAAGAAAAATAAAAGCAGAAATTTGTAAGTCTCCTACTTTATATGGTTTGTTTAAAAAATTTTTAATTTTACTTATAACTTCATATATAAAATGTCTCGTTTTGTCATATTGCATATTTTCTCATAAGTTGTAGAACTTTAACTTTTATATGGTATTCTCAGAGCTATAAATTTTTGTTCTACATGAATAAAAGTAATGTTCTATATTAGAGGTTCTCAAAAATTTTTATTCTTAGAGCACCTTTTGAATTGATAATTTAACACAATTAAATTTATGTCATTTCTTAACAATCTTTATAAAATAGTAATATTGTTCTTAGGAGGTTTATTATAATTTATTTTTAGTATTGATACAAATCAGAGTATGCAAATTTCTTCACTGTGGAAAAAACTTTAAAAAACAAACAAACATTGAAAGTCTTTGAAATACTGTTCTGAAAAACCCATGGAAAATATATGTGGCTTTGAAGGAAATAGGATTCTCCCTTATTTGAAGTTTGCAAGTTTTGCATTAAGTGATGAATATTCCTAAACAAAATAAATATATATAATTCAATCATTAGGGTGACCTGGGGTAATTCCTTATCAAAAAATGCAAACATCTATTTTGGGAAAAAACTATTCAAGATAGAATTTTAATAATTACTGGAAGTTTGAGGCTATATGAGATGAGTCCTATGCCACCTTCTTCTGTTTGAAAATCTGATTAGAATTTAAAAGATTTTAAATTTTTAGTGATCGGGAACTACCCCTGGTCTTGATCATTTCTGGGGTAATTCCTGATCACTTCTGGGGTAATTACTGATCACCAGTTTTTATTGTAAAGGGGCTGTTTAAAAATAATTATATAATGGTAATTAACAAATAAGACATCAAGATCAAGCTAATGAACCAAAAAAATATGTTTCAGCAGCTAATAAAACGATTTATTTAAAAGCAAGAAGAAAGATCAACACTTTAAATTTTCCAAAAATCTTTGCATCGTGCCATACATTTCAGGCAATCAGCCAACTTATTCTCATGTTCTGCTGAAATATGAGAGAGTTCCCACATGGGTTACTTTTGCTGGATTTTTTAACTTCATTAACGGAAAGTGTAAAGTTAACCCTTTCGCGACGCAAAGCGCAAAAGCGCGCTTACCGCTGAGGCCGGCAGTCTCTCTAGCGTGTGTCTCCCCATGGCCGGAGGGTTTTTTGATGTTAAGCCTAATTCCATGAAATTACCGAAATATCAGCGCGTTGCTTAATATTGTTCTGTAGAGTATTTAAGTGACATATGCTTTATATATATTTCTATGGATACTTTATTTACTTAAGTTATTTCTTGTTTAAATGTAATATAAATATTAATAAGTTTAAATATTTTGCATAATTTCCTCTATTTCCAGCTCAGTTAAAAATTTTCGACGCTTCGACATTCTAACGGTAAAAAGAAAAAAAATTCAAGCCTACAAGATCTAATTATCCACTAAAAACTAATCCGAAAATCGAAAGTAGCGAGAGATAAAAAAAACTCCCTTACTTACTGTAAATAAATATCACGTGCTAATTTAAAGAGCCCTCATAAAACATTCCCCCC